CCATCCCTCTCCTGGTTTCTTGTGCCCCCCCAGAGAGCTCTGCTGAGCCCCCCCAGCCTGGCCGCTGCCCTGGGGTGGCTGGTGGCTTTGCCCAGCTGCCTGCTGAGCCCCAGTGACCCCCACACCAGCGCCGTCGGAGCTGGCTGTCTGCTGGGGGGGACTGGCCGAAGCCCCCTTGCAGGCGGAGGAGCTGGTTGTGGCACTTGGCAATTGGGTTTGGCGATTCTGCTCATGTGGTTTGGGCTACTGGGAGCTTAATTTGTCTGTCCTGGCTGCAGGACGTGAAGAGCAATAGGTGAAGGGAGGATAAAGCTATAAAAGTCTCTGAAGCAAGTGAGAAGTCGTTTTTTTGGCGGGTTTTTTGATTTATTCAGAGCTGCACTTGTGCGTAAAACCGCTCGTTTCTAGATGATGGTTGCACCTGCTTCTTTTTCGGTTGCTCTCGTTTCTGATTCCATCACAAATGAATCTGGGGAGTTTTTGTCTGGGGGAGGTTGTCACAGTTTGTGTCAGCCACAGAGAACCTTCACGATAACCCCGCTGTTCACACGGGACAGGGGGGGTTTTGCCCTTCTGTGCAAGCCACTGCTGCCACGTTGCGTTTCCCTATCTGTCGTGGCAGTTCCCCCATTGCTGTTCTTTTGCTCTGCACCAGCAGATGTGAGACCGAGAGAGCCCATATCACTCAGCAGGATTTCATATTCTCTAACATGACATTTCATCTTTTAAAGCTGTGGGATCATTTGCAATGGGATCATTTACAATGAGATCATTTGCAAAGGGATCATTTGCAATGGGATGACGATTTGCATTTTATTTTTTTTTTGTAACGTTAGGGAAGAACAAAGATTGTTTAAGAAGTTCCACCTAAACATGAGGAGGAACTTCTTTCCTGTGAGGGTGGCAGAGCCCTGGCAGAGGCTGCCCAGGGAGGTGGTGGAGTCTCCTTCTCTGGAGACATTCAAACCCCACCTGGACACGTTCCTGTGGGACCTGCTCTGGATGGACCTGCTCTGGCAGGGGGTTGGACTAGATAATCTTCAGAGGTACCTTCCAACCCCATGGGATCCTGTGATTCTTTGTCATTTTCTGATAAGGACTTCACAGAAGAGCACACAATGTTTTTAACATTGCTCTCATGTCCTTTTCAGAGGGTGGTCCCGGCCTGTACCATGAGCTCCTGGGAAGGGACTTTACTCTGCAAATCCCACATTCCTTTTCTGTCTTCCCATCACAGCACGAATGATCTGTTGTTATCCATTAGTGTGGCTCAGGAGAAGTACTTTTAAATGCTTTTCAATGCTTTTAACGACTGCCCCATGTGAACTCTTGTGTTCCGCAGGAGGACTTGTGCAGAACATCCAGCTTCTGCAGAACATCCAGCTTCTGCAGAACATCCAGCTTCTGCAGGACCCGGCATGATCGCTCGCAGACAGGCCTCCTGTGGGTAAGTGTGGTGTCCCAGCATCCCCATCCCGTGGGGCAGCCAGCCCCCACAGCCCCCCCTCCCACAGCACCCCCTCCCACAGCACCCCCCTTCCTGCCCCCCCGTGTCTCCTCCTCACCCCTCATCTCGATGCCTCCCTGGCGTGGGTGCCCCAGCTGCTGCCAACCGATAACGCCGGATCCAACGGCACAAAAGCCCGGCCCAACCGCCGTGATGCTTCCCCAGCCCACAGCCAGCCCCTCACCCCGCCTCAGGCCTTGGCAGCCCACAAACCGCCACAGGAGGGGGAGGCAGCGGGGGGGCAGCTGCGATAACAGCGGAGAGTTTCTTTGGGCCCCCCCTTGCCCACGGAAGGCTGATTAATGTCCTCGGCAGCCCCCAGCCCCCGGGAGGGCTGTGTCACCCTGGGGTGTTTCTCTTCCCCAGACACGGACATTTTCTATCCCGCCCTTTGTTTTCGAGCTGAAGAGCAGCCAATGCACATCCCGTTCCTATAAAAGGCCAGGGAAGAGGCTGAAGTGCTCGGGATGCCTGTTCCAAGTGCTGCATTCCTGCTTCCTGATGAGAATCCCATGATATTCCCTGAAAGGGCCTCTTTGTAAGACTCCAGCGGGCTGCAGGGCGGCTCTGTTTCTGCTTTTCCATGTGGATTCTGTCAAAAGCAGCTGATAACATCGCGGCAGTGATGCTGGAGGCCAGGGGGGAGAACACAACAGCCCTGAGCGGGTGTATCTTCAGGAGTCTGATTGCTCTCTCTGCTCGTGCACGGCTCCGTCACCACTTCTGAAAATACCTGCCCCTTAAAGCAAGTGTTAGTTCCCTTTCACAGCCGCCTCTCAGCTGTGCTGGGGCCCCGGGGGAGGCGAGAGGTTCCCCTCAAGAGAGAAAGCAGTGGGACTGGGGGCAGCTCTAACCCACCCCCCTGCCTTGCACCGTCCCCTCTTCCCCCAGAGGCTGCCCCCAGAGGGCTGGTCTGCTGGCGGCAGGGGGAAGGGAAGAGGAAGAGGAGGAGGAGAAGGGATTTGGTTTCCAGAGGAGCAGCAGCACGTTGAGCAAGAGGTGCAGAATGTGCCCTCCTTCCAAATCCGCCTTGTCTCCATCTCCTGGCATGTCGTGGGTTGGGCTGGCCTGGCCACTGAAATGCTCTCTTCTGGGAGAGGAGGAGAGAAAGACAGTTGCGAGTTTAAAAAGAAACTAAACATAGAATAAAAAGAAAATAATGAAATATATACAAAGGCAGTGTCAAGTTTCCAGGATGATGACTATCACGCCACCGCAGACTCTGGGAAAGTCCCAGCGATGGACAGGAACTGGATTCCAGATCTGGATTGAGGAAGGCAGAGGTTGGGAGCAAAGGCAGACAAAGAGAGCTCTCCTCAGACACCGGCCATTGAAGGAAGAGCTGGCCCTTTGATCCCTCAGCTTTATACCCAGCGTGGTGCCAACAGGATGGAACACCCCCTCGGTCAGTTTGGGGTCCCCTCTCCCGTCCCCTCCTCCCCGCGGGTGGGACCCCTCTGTCCTTCTCCACTTCCCTCCCTCCAAGGGGGCAGATACGGAAGCGAGCTGAGCTGGGCTGTTACAGCAATAAATACAAGCAGGAGCCTCCCCAAACACCGTTCCTCGGCATAAAGGAGACCCAGCCGGGTCCCAGCGCTCCGGAGGCAGACGGCAGCCTGAGGGATACACCGGGAGTTTCCCAGAGCTCAGGCTGTCAGCAAAGGCTCAGCTGAAAACCCAAATTACTGAAGAGAAAATTCTGTTTTAGCTGAAAGCAGGACACAGGAAAAGCCTGACCCTCCTTCCCCCTGGTACCCAGCTGCATGGGCAGGAAGAAGGTCATTTCCACACCTGTTTGGATTTGTTTGGACAAAGGAAATCCCCTGGCTCCGAGGAACATAAACACTTTTTGCACAGCTCTTGTTGCAGCCTGGAAAGGGGTCTGAGAGCTGCACAGGCAAGAGTGGTTCTTACTCCCCTGTGGAGAGCCACAGACGGTTCTTGCCCAAAGCTCAGGAGCGAGAGGTACCAGCGAAAATGGTTTAAAAAAGAGGCTCATTTTGGCACCACAGCCCTCCCGTCTCAAGCCCTCCCCCAGGATCTCAGGTGTGTTTTGTTTTGGGTTTTTTTTGGTTGGTTTTTTTGGGGGTTTTTTTGGGGTTTTTTTGTGTGTGTGTGGTTTTTTTGTTTGTTTTTTGGTTTTTTGTGGTTGGACTCAATGATCTCAGAGGTCCCTTCCAACCACTAAGATTCTGTGATTCTGTGTTTTGCAAAGGAAAAGGAGACACGGTCTCCTGCTGCTTCTCCACTGCTAATTAGACCTGTGGGTTAACGAGCAAAGGGAATACCAGTTGCGAGGCAATCCTACAGCAGAAGCTACAGGATTTGCCGTGGTCTCCCCGTAGCCACGGACCGAGGAGGAGCACAACGAGGAGTTCCCATAAGGCAGGATGGCATTCCCACAGCCAGCTCCCCCAGGCAGCCAGCACCAGCCACTCTGTCCCACATAATGCAGCTTTTTAGCTGCACAGAAGTTAAATCACCCTTAACTCGGGTGATTTTCTCCGGAACCTTATTTCCTAAATTCCTTTCAGCAAGGCAGAAACCAGGGATGTGCAGTTGGCTCCTCTGCTGGTGGGGACGTCCTGGGCTGGAGGTTATGGGGGTGAACACCACGTCCTGGGGCTCTTTTCTCCTCCCTTGGGCTTTGAGGCGTTTTTTTTCTTTCTCTTCCTCTTCTTGGGGCCATGGCTCTGGGCTGGGGGCTGCTTGGCCTGGTCCAGGAGATGGTCCTGCAGCTCCAGGGTGGAAATGGCTTCCCTGCCAGATGCTGCTCTGCTGTTTGCCAGGTTCCCCGGAGGAAAGCTGGGTGCTGCCAGGAGGTTGTGTCTCTCCTCAAACACACCTCCTCACCTCTGTGTCAGAAGTCACCTCAGCACCGCCAGTCTCAGTCTCTTTCCAAAATGAACCACATCTCCCAAACAGACCGTCTTGGCCTCTTCTGGTCCCGGCTGGATTCTAGTCAATCATAGAATTGTCTAGATTGGAAGTGACCTTTAAGATCCTGGAGTCCAACCCCTACCCCAGTGCTGCCAAGTCCACCACTGAAACATGTTCCTTAAACTGAGACTGATCACAGGGCAGTGAAAAGCCTTTGGCAAAACCTCGTCCCACTGTCCACTTCCAGGCTGTCCTCCGCCCTCACCCTGATCCAGAGCCTTGCAAAACTCAGCAGTGAATGCAATCCCTGTTGTCCAAAAGCCAAAGCTTTCCCTCTGGCTCCACAAACCAGCTCTGAGCTCTGTTCTCCTTCCAGTAATGTGTGTTGCAGCCAGGGGGGTTGTTCTCGAGCTCTCCCATCCCCACTCGTTGGGGTAGGGGAGGTGTTGCAGTCTCTGTGGTGAAGAAACTAAGGCAAAAGGTCTCTAAAAAAAAAAGTTGGAGAAGACCCGGAGAACAGCAGCCAAAAGGATTGAGAGCTTGGAAGGAGAGATGGAAGAATCTGGGAGCTTTCAGGGTGGAGAGGTGGGGTGGGAATGGGACGGATGGAGGTTTCCAAAGTCGTGAAGGTGACGCATAAGGCAGATGTGTGGGACAAGAGTCAGGGCTGATGAGAGTTAAACTGAGAAGAGAGAGTGTCTGTGTAGGTGTTGGGGTGTTACCGTGTGGCTCCTGCTACCCGGGGAGGCTGTGGAGGAGGTTGCTAAAGGCAAATGGGTAGTTTCATGGCCAGCAGCTGCAGAAATGTGTATTACAGGGAGGAGGCAGGGCTGTACCCACTGGCATGGGAAACTGGAGCTCACGGGAGGGGCTGCAGAAAGTGGCTGGGCGCTCTTGTCCCCCCCAGTAACTCCTGTGCTGGTCTTGAAGCTGTTGGGCATCAGTTGTCTTTGCGTCTTGGAGATCTTTCTTTTTTCAGTCCCTGTGGTGGATCAGTGCTGGTTTGGACAGGATGGCCGGGATGGTTTCCCTCAGTTGCGCTGTTAGGAGCGGCGTGGGCTGGGGCTGCCGAACAGCAACACCCCTGCAGGGACACCACCAATGGGGGGACACATGGAGAAGGTTGGGGGGCTCCACCACCCCTTCACTGAGCACCTTTCGCCTTTTCCAACCCCTGCGTGGCAGGTGCCAATGGTTCTTTTCACGTTGTCCTTCACAGGCCCATCCATGTTGCCTAGAGCAGCCGCCCCGAGAGCATGGTGCTGCTGAAGGGTCTCATCCCTCCTGCTGGTCTGAAGGAGCCTGCGGTGCTTCACCATGTCAGCTTGGTTGCAGGTGGCTGCCACAGGCTGTGAGTATGCAAAGTAGCTTGGGTGGGGATTACGTCTCCTCAGAGAGCACGTGCTGACAGTGTCTCTGTGCCCTCTGTGCACCTCTGCTCCGGGCTGTGGTGGTGTTGGTAAAGGTGTGTGTCCTGGGGAGCCTCATCCCCCCCAGTGCTGCAACATCCCCGTAGCTGGGTACCACCATCATCATACCTGGGTATCACCACCACCCTACCTGGGTACCACCATCATCATGCCTGGGTACCACCACCACCCTACCTGGGTACCACTGTCACCCTACCCGGGTACCACCATCCCCACACCTGGGTACCACCACACCTGGGTACCACCACCATCATCATGCCTGGGTATCACTGTCGCCACACCTGGGTACCACCATCCCCACACCCGGGTGCCACCACCATCTCTCCTCCGCTGCATGCCTAAGGACACCTTCCCTCCGAGCCTCTTCTCCCCTCTCTGACCACGGCTTGCCCTCCACCCTCCCACCCTTCCCTGAGGCTCTGAGCCTCCCCTCCAGCATCTTTCCTCTCTGCTCAGCCCAGCTTTCCTTCAGACCCCTGCTCCTCAACATGTTCCCTCATCAGCAACCAGCATAACCTTTTAAACCTGCTAAAAGCCACTCCAGGGTGACAGTTCTGGCAGATTTTGGGGGGGAGCTGGAGATACCAGAGGTGACTTTCCCCTTGCTAAGTCCCTTTACGCCAGCAGTGCTACTGTGGGATTATCATCCCAGGGTTTTGTACAGCCAAGGGTGAGTTTCAGGGTCACATTTGCAGACTGACCCCCCCCGACATGAGCTCCATTTTCTCCTGGGGAAAGCACAAAACATTCTCAAGGCAAAAGCTCTTGTGTAAAGACCTATTGAGATGCCTTTTCCTGTTAAAAGCAGTTCATCTACAGGGCAGATACAGCCGTTGCATTACTCAGAGGTGCCGTGATTCATGATGAATGAGTACCTTCCACACACATAAGGTCACTGGGCATGTCCCTGAGTGGGAGCATCCGTTCTGCAGGGCTGCACCCCGTCTTGAGAGGGTGGTGAGGCTGAAGGTGCCTGTGGGTCACCACAGCTCTCAGACACCGGTTATTTCTCAGCCAGGACCACACAGTCCTGACAAAAAGGCATTTCAGAGCTTGTTTTCCCAGCGGTGCTCTCCCTTCCCGGTGCCAAGGGAGCAGCTCCAGCTCCAGGGGTGAGGCTGCACTGGTTCTGGTCCCTGTTAGCAACTCCTGATGTGCAGAGTAACCTCCAAAAGTCCAGGTTCCCATCATTTTGACTCCAAAGGGCAAGGAATTGTCTTACCCATCTAAGAAGCATTTAGATAGCACACCAACAAAAAAGTCACATTTTTCATCTTATTGTTTTAGTCTTAAAAATGTTACATTTTTTAAGAGGAAGGAAATCAGATAAGTGACATGATGCACTCCAGAAAGTCAGTTGGTAACTTGTGCCTAAATAAATAAACAAACAAATGGGGTGTGCAAGCAGATTAAGTTGCTTTTTGGCTTTTGCTTCAAAACTAACCCATCCTGCTCTGGCATGTCTCCCGTTTCCAGACCTGTTGGTGGTTTTGCAGGCGTCCTGCAGGGTGGTGGAAATCACAGAGAGGAGAACGGTGGCTGCGGGTTCCTCCGTCCTGCTGCACGCCCCCGAGATCCAGAACGTCAACTTCACGGAGTGGGAGTTCATCAGAAACACCACCCCGGAGTTCATCCTGCAGTACTATGCGGATTACCAGTCTCCCACCATCTACACGGCCTACCAAGGCAGGGTGGTTTTCTACCCAGAGAACGGCTCCCTCCTCCTGCAGAGCGTGCAGGAGGCAGACACAGGCATCTATAAGGCAACAGTTGACCTGATGCAGGACAAAGCACGGACGACCCTCCTTGAAGTTATCCGTAAGTCCAAATGTGGTGGGAGAGGGTGGTTTCCCCCAGACAAAGATGGGGACCAGGAGAGAGTCATAGAATCTGCTGCGGTTCGGGCTGGGTTGGCCACTACAACAACCAGCAGATGCTTCTATTTTACCCCTCTCCCCTTCAGAGAAGAGAAGGCATCTCCCTCTGGAGGAGAGGAGAGAGGACGAGAGGGAGGGAGAGGGATGTATGAGTGGAAAAGAAACCCGACTGCTTTAATGAAATATTAATAAGAAAATAATACGAAGAAAAAGAGTGAAACAGTAAAAAGAAAATAATGAAATATACACGATATATACTGAACCCCATGGAGCTGTCCCTCCCAGGATGGCGACTGCGTTCGAAGAAGAAAGCAGATGTCTCCATCCCTGCTACCACACCATCCCTAGGATGGTGGGTGTTGCCCTGCTCCTGCAGTATCTTCTCTCCCTCCAAACTGACCTGGGGGGTAAATCAGAAGGGAAGGACCTGCTCTGTCCCCAGGGGGCTCGGTATTCTTGCACGTTGGCCAGTTTCAGGTCCGAAGCAGGGCAGTTCTCATGCTCCTGGGAGTGTTACCACGCTGCTCTCTGCTTTTCAGAGCCCGTGCCCCAGCCTGAGCTCCAGTACAGTTCAAACCTGGCGGGTTCTCCCATTGAGCTGGTCTGCGTGGTGCCAGAGGGAAGGGTGGATTCCATGTCCTGGAAGAAGGACGGACAACCCCTTTCCCCAGAAAAGTGCTATGGGCTCTCTGGAGACACGCTGCAGATAAGGAAGGGGGAGAAGTCAGACTGCGGCTGCTTCTCCTGCAACATCAGCAACGTGATAAGCTGGAAGGAGGCAAAGCTGAACCTGATGGTGACAGGTTAGTCTTGCCCTGCCTTGGCAGGTCCAGCGGTTTGTCACAGGTCCACCCCACAGGGTGGGCCATAGTCTCTCATCAACTTTCCCTAGCAAGGAAGGTGCCAGGACTCATCCCTTGGATTTTCCAGCGTTTTTGTGGTTTCCTGGGATCACTGCTGTGTGTTTCGGGGTTGTCCCCAGCACGGGGTTTCTCTCCTGCCCTGCCTTGCAGGTCTGCCCCCTCCTCTGCGCCACGTGCGGAGGGTGGCCGTCGTCGCGCTGATGTTCCTCACCGCCTCCACCATCGGCTTCATCGTCCTGCTCCGTCAGCTGAGGGAAAGCAGTTCAGGTGAGTGCCAGGACTGCACCCTGGTCCCCAAAATAAACCCTCCTCTCCTCACCCTGGGCAGGGCAGGCAGCAGAAAGCCTCAGCTGAGCCCTTTCTCTCCTCTCCCCCTAATTCATTTGAGTTGTGGGAGAAAATGTGTTCGGCTCCTGCGTTTCTTCTTACGCCTCTGTAGCTTGCACAGAAAATAAAAACTCCCCAGAAGCAGCTAATCCCAAAGGGCTTTGGAGAGATGGAGCCAGAAATATCACAGCACCAAGCGTATGGGTCATTCCTCAGGCTTCCCGAGGAAGAAATAAACAGTGCAGGTCACACAGGCTCCAAGGGAAGAGCCTTCCTGCCTGGAGATGGCCAAAGGTCATGTCTTGTGGGTTTTGGTGGCCAAGCACGCTGGTGTTTGGGTCATGGCATTGGATCCGTGCCCAACTGGATCCGTGAGGGCTTCTGTAGCAACACAGATATTAATGGGAAGCACACGTAAAGATGGAGCCAACAGCAAATCTTCCCACACAGTCTCTGTAATCTGCTAGAGCCTTCTTCTGCCCACCAGGAATGATCTCCAGCATAACAGGGACCATCTGGAGAGCAGAGGTGAAGCCCTACAGCTGACAGGAAAGTTCTCCCATGTGTGTTCAGCATGAAACTCTGGGGACATGGGCAGGTTGTGGTGTCAGGACTTGCCTTTGCGGGGGTAATCCCCCCTGAGGAGCACTCCAGGCCTGGTGCTTGGGGCAGGAGCTTGTGCCACATGGGCTTTCCCCCATGAAATGGGTCTCCAGAGGAAACCCAGCACTTGTCAGGTCATTACAGGAGGCAAAAACTGGGGCAGAAGTGTTGTAAAGCAGCTCACCAGGTGGAATTGGTGCCTGGTTCAGTGTGGAATGACCCCAAATCTGGCTGGTTTCTCCTGGTTCCTCCTGAAGTCAAAGCAAGCCCTTGAAAGTTCACCGGTTCCTCAGGGTTTCTAAACCTCAGGGCTTCAGTTCTTTATGAGAACCCGGGCTTGTTGTTTATCATCTCCCCTTTGCAGGCTACACCCATCCTGTTTGTGCGGTACTGAGTACGTTTGCCTTTTTTCCCAGGAAAGGAAGCATTGAAACATCTAATTCTGTTCACCCATGAAATGCTGTGGATCTCCTCTCTCCTCCTGTTTTCCGCCTCCATCGTCTGGATGTGGGAAGAAGGTAGGAGTCATTTAACCTGCTTTATTCTTGATTGCTTCAGTGTCTCATCTTTCTTTTTCCTCCAGGTCTTGACAGTAGCATCTTTGATGGATAAAAACCATTCTCAGCTGTAGGATGTGGTCCCCTGGCCAGCAGGACTGAGCCAGTCCCACTTCCAGACCCATCCCCAGGCCATAGGGAACCTTCTTGGCTGTAGTCCTGCTGCCATTGCACAGCCCCGTTGCACGGGGTGGTGGACCCTGCACTCTCAGACACAGCAGTTGGGTGCGGGGCCACCACAAGCCAACTTTCCTTGCCTTGTTCTCAGACCTCCCCCAGTTTCCGTCTCACCTTCTGGTTTACTTCTGCTCCCACAGGTCCTTCTGCTGCCTTCTTCTTGTTTGGGTTGTTCTTCTTGCTTGCGGTGCTAGGAAGCACCCAGGTGGCAGTGGCAATGGTGTGGAGACCAGCAGCTCTTGGCCACTTCAAAAACACAGTGTGTAAGTTGCTGTTTATGGTCTAAATCTCTGGTGGGAAAGGCCTGATACGACCCCAGGAGTAAACTCCTCAGGTTTTCTCTGCCGGGAGGGAACGGCGGCTCGGCACGCTGCTGTGGCACAGGTCCACAGACATTCTGCATGCCTTGCCCACCCTCCCACCAAAGCCCAGCTCCTCCCCATGCCAGCTGACATTCCTTATGCATTTTCCTCTCATCCCACAACTATTTTTCCCTCTCCCAGGGCACCAAGTTATCCGGAACTCCATAGCCCCCACAACGCTGATCGTCAGCTTGTTGTTCTCCACCCTCTTGCTCCATAATACCCAGCAGCTCCATGGTAAGGGATGGCCTGGGTTTGGACCACCCATGCCCTTGCTGACCTTTCTTCTGGGGAGCTGTGGGGTATCTGAGGGGGGGTTTTCACTCAGGGCAGAGAGAGTCCTTAGGTGGCTTTGCATGGCTGGTTCTTCAAGAAACCTTGTTGTTGTTGAGGCAGTGGTGGCAGCTCCACACTGAGAGGGAAGGTCATAGCTCTTACATAGCAAAGCAAGGTTCTCCCTTGTGACTCCATGATTTGAAACACAGGGATCCCCCTTCACCATCACATAGGAAACCGTTGGATTAAATTCACTAAATGTTCAAAGGGGGGTTGTTGGCCAGAGAAGCAACTGCTGACAAGTTCTCCCTTTCTCCTTGGCAGAGCGAGGCTGCTCAGAGGCCGTGGATCTGACCCTCAGCTGTGTGTTGGCTGCGGTAACCATCCTCCTAACGCTGCTGGTAAACATCCTCCTGTGCTGTAAGTACCCCCGTGGCTTCCTTCCAGCAACTGTCACCATCTGCCCAGCCATGGAGACGCCTGCAGGCTCAGCTCTCACACCCTCCCCCACCAGCAGGAGCAAGGAAAGACGCTTTTCAGTCAGATAAAAGCTGGACTTTAGAAGAACAGGATTGTTCAAATCAGCTGAGGACCCAGCTCTGGTGTCCATCCTTTTAGAAAAGCCACCGTAGGCACTGGTACCTGTCTGTGGTCCTCGTCAGCACCTCTGCTTTGTCCATGGATGCTCAAGGAGAGCGAGTTCTTCCTCCAGAATGGCCTACCATGGTCTTCCCTAGTGATAGCCATACCCTGGTCAAAAAGTCCTTAGCTACAACAAGCTTTGGGAGGAGAAAACTATCTGATAGACAGGTAAAAATAGGTCTGGGAACATCTTATGACCCAGGAGAACAGCTAACCAGTCATCCCAGTGAAGTGGGGCTTCCAGAGTGAACTCTGGGTGGGAGGGCAGAGATGAGGGAGGTGATTTCCATGTGTTTACCTTCTTCTTTTTAAAGTTCCTGGTTTCTGTTCTCTCGCCACGTGAATCCCCTTGTAGCCACAATTACCAGCTGCATCTGGCCTCCCCCTGCACAGGCTCTCTGGTGGCCCAGTCTTGAGGACCAGCTGGCCATCCCAGTGGGCTTCCTGAGAACGCTGGCTCAGCCTTGGGGATCACACGTAGCATCTCAGGGAACTGGCAAGAAGGAGGGTCAACAGCATGTTGGGGGGAGGAGGCCCTCAAGGAGAGGATTGAAAGGAGACCCTTGGGCTTCTCCAGAGCAGAGAGAGCATTTCCAAGTCTGAAATATGGGAAATATTGCACCAAGTCCCTAGAGCCAAAGGATTTGGACCCAGAGGGGTCACTCTCAGAGGGGTGAAAAGCTCCCACCTTCATTGGTCTCTGCCTCCGGCTTTTCTTCCCCCTGCCCATGAAGTACAGGGTGCAGCACGAACTGCCGGGGTGATGTTGGAAACCCAAGGGTTACTCAACCTTTCCTTTTATTTCCAGATCACAGGAGTAAACAGAAGGAGAGGATGACAAAAAACCAGGACACCACCCAGGACAAAAAGACCACAGTCACCTTGGTAACTCACTGCCATTAGCTGGTGCTCTGCTATCGCAAATCCTTATTATTTAATGATGAATATTAAATTCGTAATGGATATTTATGAATATTTAATTAGTAATAGCAAGGAAGCATCTGTCTGCCTTCCTGCAGAAGGCTGTGGGCTTTGTCCCCACCCTGGGGGAGACACAATGAGCTGCTGGTGCTGTGGTTCAGCTCAGTCCCATAGAATGGTTTGGGTTGGAAGGGACCTTTAAATGTCATCCAGTTCCAACCCCCTGCCATGAGTAGGGACATCTTCAACTTGACCAGGTTCCTCAAAGCCCCATCCAACCTGGCCTTGAACCCCTCCAAGGATGGGGCAGCCACAGCTTCTCTGGGCAACCTGGGCCAGGCTCTCACCACCCTCACAGCAAAAAAATTCTTCTTCATATCTAGTCTAAATCTCCCCTTCTTTAGTGTAAAACCATTACCCCTTGTCCTAGTGCTACAGACACTGCTAAAAAGTGTGTCCACATCTTTCTTCTAAGCCCCCTTTAAGCGAACCATTACCCCTTGTCCTATTGCTACAGACACTGCTAAAAAGTGTGTCCCCATCTCTCTTCTAAGCCCCCTTTAAGCACTGGAAGGGGCTCTAAGGCCTTCCTGGAGCCCCAGGTTCACACGCCCCCTCCTTCTTTCTAAGGCCTTCCTGGAGCCCCAGGTTCACATGCCCCCCCCCTTCTTGAGCTTGTCCAGGTCCCTCTGGATGGCATCCCCTGGGACCCTGGGGTCTCTGCCCCACCTTGGGGAGCTCTCCTGGCTTTGGGGGTGCAGTGGACGATGCCAGCACTGCGGGGCCACGCTCGGCTGCCCAGAGAAGCATCTCAGTGTGATGAGTATGCCAGTTCTCGGGGCTGCTGCAGTTTGAGTTGGGTAAAAACATATTCTTTGACCGTGCCTCACCCTGAAATGGGTATAAATAAGTCTTGGAGGAAAACCACAGCTCCTCCACCTACAACACCAGCACCAAGTACTACGCCTTCTGTACTCGCTTCACTCTCTCCCTCTTCCGCCCCGCGCTATCTCTGAGAAACCCCCTTTCCTTCCTCCCTCCTCCCATGCTGGCCCCAGCCCCACCTTCCTTCCCTGCGTCCTTATTTCAGAGATGCCAGAAGGATCTGGGGGTCAGGGGAGCCCCCACTTTACTCCCCCTGCAGCTGAGCCTTAGGTTGGTGTGGGCCGGGGGGGTGACGCTGCACCCCTGTGTTTTGGGGGTGCTGGAGGGTGTCATGGTGTGGGGCACGGGGGGCAGGATTTACTGCCTCCCCCCAGGGCAGTCTCTGGGGGTGAACTGGAGGAACTGGGGTGTTTATAGGAGTGTGATGACACTGTGTGCTGGGAGGGGGATGCTCGTCCCAGGGCTGGGACAACGTGCCCCCCCCCCAGCAGTATGGCTGGCTATGGGATGGTCCATAGTGTGGCTGAAGAGTTCCTGGTCCCTTTACGTACCACCAAAGGACACGGTCCCTGTGTTTTCCGCAGGTGGTGGAAAAAACCCAAGGACAGTGGCAGGAGGGGGAGTGAGGGGTCATCCCCCCACCTGCCGGGGAAGAGCCCCCCAGGAGCTGGGAAGATGCCATCGGCCCAAGGAAGACACCCATAAGCTCTGCCTGTACCCCAGCACCACCGAGGCAAGGCCTTGGACAAAAATCTTGCCAAAACGTCACCACTGAGGTCTCCAAAGGACAGCCAGAGGGGACCAGTGATGCTCCCCCCACCCACGGTCCCTGCCCGTGATCCATAAAGTGAAGGCAGAAATGGTATCACATCCCGAGCTGGAGGTGACTCCTCCCTGCTAACGCCCTCACCCCACCTGCCTTCTCTTTTAGTACATTAACAAGTCAAAAAAAAAAAAAAATGTAAATGACAATCGAGGGAACAAGCCATGTTTGAAGGAATTCAGACCAGTTTTCTCAACAGGAGTGGATACCTTGCTGCTGTTCGTTAGCGTAGCCAGCTGCAGAAGAGCAGATTAACTCCCAGCTTCAGCTGCTGGTGATTGCTCTGGTGTAAAACGCTCATTTACCCTTGTGCCCGAGCACAGCTGAGATGCTGGGCTGCCCGAGCTGCCTGTGCTGCTCTTGTTGGAGCTTGCTTTAAGCTGCCCCACTTTTGCTCTCAGCAGAGCTCTGCCCATGCCGGATTTCGGTGTCACCCCCTGCAATGTGTGACCTCACTTTCCTCCTCTTCCTGCCTTCACCAGTCCCCTTTCAATGTGCAGCGAGTGGGGCAGGTGGTTCTCAGGGGAGGCAGATCCACCATCTCACCCTCCCTTCCAGCTCCCCTTCCCTCAGCTTTGAATGGCAAATGTCTCTGTGTCGCATCATCTTCCTCGGAAAACCCAGCCCGAGCCCTTGTCCGTCTGTCCTGTGCCTGCTCCTGCCCTTCCCTGCTGCCACCTCCTCTGGGCACCACTTGGACCTCACACTCCGAACCCTGGAGAGGATGCCTTGCCTTTGGGCAGGAAAGGCAGCTCTGTGAGTACTCCTCTGTAAAGCAGGGTGGCATTTTTAAGCGTATTTTTTGATAGAAACTAGATTTCCCTGAGCTGATTTCCCTTCCGTGGGCCTTTTAACCAGCCTTGTGTTCATGCCGCGCCCCTCAGCAGCTCCCTTTGATGTTCATAGCATTTTAGCTGTGGTTGGAGTAAGTTCTGCCAGCTCTAAAACATGTTCAGCTGTTAAATAAAAAAAAAAAAAAAACAAACCCACACACACAAGGAAAAAAACCCCACCTGATAGGGCTTTTTAATTTGCTCAGTTATAGATTTCACCTGGATGTGTCTGTGTGTACCCTTATTTTGCTTCCTCAATCAGAAGGTGACTCCAATCTGTTCCCAATCCTGCTCACGGGCTGGATCCTGCCCTGGTGGGGGCTGGAGCAGGTTTCCCTGCCCTGGGGTGAGTTTGGGGCTCTGCTGAGGGGAAAGGACAAATACAAGCAGATGAAGATGCAGCCTGGGTAGTCACAGGTGAAAGAGGATGGTGCCAAAGACCAAAAATCACCAGTCACCAATTGATGGGCCACCAAGAACTGGAGAGCTTTGGAGAGGACAAACCCGGAGCTTGGTAAGAGGAGGGAAGCGGGAGGAAGGTGAGGATTTGGGATATTTGGGACTGGGCAAAACTTACAGAGGAATGGTTGGGGGAAGAGGCAGAGAGGAGGAGGGTAAAAGGGGGTGGGTGTGTGTGAGTAGAGCTTGTCTCACCAATCCCTGATCACCCGAATCTGCCCCAGCTGCTAATTAAAGCCTTCCTTCCCCAGCGGTGTCATCTCCCTCCGCACGGTGGGCACTGGGGGGGGAGGCACCAGGAGCATCCCTGAACCGCGGCTGGGTACCCGGGAGCCTGAAACAGCCCCAGATACCCCCTGTAACCACAGAAACGGGGAACGGAAAAGGGGAAAATTAGTCCAAAAAAGGTGGGAAACAGCCTGGGAAAGCAGAAATCGGTGACAGGTATCGGCTGCTTCAGCTGGAGGAAGAGAGAAACAGCCCAAGGGGGCAAGAATGGGTCTGAGAAAAACAAAAAAAAAAAAAAAAAAAAAAAAAAATCATCTCTGGGGTGTTCAGGTGGCACCGAAATCTCCGCTCCAAAGAGCGGTGTCCTGCGCCCCCTCGAGTCGCTATGGTATAAAAACTACTCGCTTTCCACCCAAAATGCCCCTCTCCCTGCAAGGATTTCCCTGCGTGAGCGGGGAGCGGCTCCGGGGGATGCTCGCCAGGCTCCGGGTTCCCTGATGTGGCTCATCCAGGAGAGGAGATTTGGTCCAGCATCGCTGGCCTCCTTCCTGGAGCAGTCTGAGGAGCGCTGCACCCGTAACATGTCAAATAATACATATTTATATAGGTATTCATACAGTAAATTAATCATAGATATACCCACTTCTAATATTGATATGTAGATATTGAGATCTGAGGCTGCGAAGCTACTGGCTGCTTTTAGCAGTGGCAATTTTGGTAGTAGCTTGAAGTATATATATAGAGAGAGACTTGCTTTTCTGGGAGTAATTTTATAGTAACTTGCAATATATACTTTGCTTTCCCAGCAGTAATTTGTTTGCCTGGCAAACCTGAGGACGCCCAAACGCTTCTGCTGCTTGGGCGAGGCGCTCGCTCGGATTTTTGTCTGGGCTGCTCCACCAAAACGATTGAATTTCACCATCTTTTGCTCCCAGCTTCACCCAGGCTTCCCAGGGAGGAGGAAGAGCCACGGGAGGGAGGAAGGACACAAAGGCAGAAGGATGGGGGTGTGGAGATGGGCACTGACAGCATCTCTTCCCCAGGCACATCCCAGCGTATCCGACGTGCTCCGGACCCCAGACACAGGGATCTATTGTCTGGGGGCACATTTAAACCCTCCATGTCCCCTGTCTCCTTCCCAAGGGCTATTTTTCCCCACCAGATTTGGCCGTTACAACCCACAGAGGGATTTCCTGCAGCCTAGAAGGTGGTTTTTTCTGATGACAAACCCAGCTACTCTGCACAAACCTGCACACAGAGGCCTCCAGATGAACCCCCAAGATAGAGCCTCCCCGGAAAAACCCCAGAGGCATCTCTGACCCCATCTGGCTCGGGTGGCATCCTCTCACAAGTCCAGCCCCCCCGGGACTACGGGTGGTGCCAGGGCGGCCGCTTGCCAGGCCACGGTGACTCAGGGAACTGCTACAGGTTAAAAATACCCTCCCCCAGCTCGGAGCAGGGTTCTCGGGTTGGTTTTAACCCCGAGGGGTGATTTCCCACCCCAACAGAGCAGGGCAATGCCAGCTGGGGTAACGCACGCACTTTTATTAGTAGCAACAGACATTTTAAAAAAAAACCCCACATCGTCTCCAAAATGAGTTACAGACAACTCTCCAGAAAGTCTAAAATAGTAATTTTTTTTAAACATGCGGTTGCATTCATTTTACATCTGCTCGTGCACCAGGGAACTTGACAACCCACACTGCAGCCTAAAACTGAGGTTCAAATCTGGTTTATTCCGCCCAAACTGCTCTGCTTCCTTTAGTGCTTTAATTGCAACGTGAAATCCCAGGCTGAGAGAGGTCCCGTTGCTGGTGGCGCTTTTAGATCCCCATTTTCTCCCCAGGACTGATCTCCGCTGCACCGTCTGCCCGAGCAGGGAGGGCAGGCACTGGCCAAGATGGTCAAGCCACAAGCCAGCTCACTCTCCCATTATTTTTGGATTTGCCCCAGAAATAGATGCAGGACAGCTCAGGGACTGCTCACACCGTGGGACACAACGTGAGACTCCTGATTGCCCTTCTATTCTCCACTGAGAGGAGGTAACTCCAAGGAGACACCCCCTGCCCCAGCCAGGAAAGCCCTTTGCTGCAGAAGCAGGTCCACAAACAAGACCCAAGGAGGAGAACCATCCACCCGTAGCGTTCACTTCATGGCTGGGAATGAGGAGAAGTCCCCAGGCCACCTGCTCTGGGAGAGAAGGGACCATCCAGCAGCGACCAGAGCACCCAAACCACCTGTCCCCAGCATGGGGACCAGCTCAGATGGGGTGCTGGACCTGGGGGTGTCCCCATCAGAATGAAAGATGGGTGCAAACGCCCCGTCCTGAGGCTCACAAGGCACTTTGTGAGGTCGAGCACTCCTGAGAGAGCATCCAGTTTTCTCCAGGGTGAAGAGGCCAGTCGTGCCTCCAGGCTAATTAATTTCAACTATAGGAAAAAAAATAAGAATCCCTTGAGGAGCAAAGCCCAGAAGAGCTCTGCAGAAGCAGCAGGGGAGGGGAGGTAATGGGCCCAGGGGCTGGCGTTGGGGCTGCCCTGGCCGTATCAAAGCAGACCAAGTCTACCATCACCTCAGGAGTGGCAGAGGGGAAGGACAAGCTTCTATTGGCACACACAGGAGAGGAGTGATGTCCCCAAATCCCATCGGAGCCCAAGGCTGGAGGACAGAGGAGATGGGCTCGGCAGCATCCCTAGGTCTCCCACGCCAGGCTCTGGTGCTGCTGTAACGCAGCCACGGGGGTTCCTTTGGGGTTTCCTTCCTAAAACAAACCTACGTTGCTGCTCCCCCCTCCCCTGCCGCCTTCCACCGGCCCCGCTCGTCTCCCACCCTCCCCAGGGCACACGACAGCAAAATCCTGCCCTTTTTCCTCCCTCCAAGGGCCAAACCCAGCAGAACGCCCACGGTCTCAGCCCCCGAGCCACCCTGGCAAGTCCCAGGCCATGGTGAGGGGCTCAAGCCCTGGGGACACAGGGGCTGGCACCACGGCACGCCCCCCAGCAGCCCCAGGACCATGTGTTTGTCCAGAGGGGATGGTGGTGGCTCCTTCCAGAGCCCTCAGCCCATCCACAGGCTCTTGGCCCGCCCCGGAGGAAGGCAGGAGAGGTAGGGAGGTCTGGAGGACAGCAGCAGCAGGGTCTCCAGGCATGGCCGTGCCCACCTCTCCCCCAGGGACGTGGAAGGGGCCCTGGGGAAGAGCAGGACCACAAAGAAATAGTTCTGGACGGTGTTTTACAAATAGTTGTTGGCTTTGGCAGCTGGAGCAGTTCAGTGGTGAGCCCAGAAGAGGTTGTGATGGCATCAGGGGTCCAGCGCTCCCCAGGCAGCATCCACCACCATCGGGGGAAGGCAGGAAGGGCACAGCCAGTCAAGCTCTACCTGCAAGAAGAACAAATCCCAGTGGGGACTGTTGGGGGGGGACAACAAATCCTATAAGCCCCCGGAGCGGGCAGAGCAACCCCTCAGCTGCCTCTTACAGGGGCTGGCAAAGGACCCCAAGCCCTCCCACTTGTCTAGCAAAGACCCATCCAACGATAAGTTCTGGCTGGTAGCCACAGCTGGAGGAGCAGGGCCACCACCAGGAGAGGGGCTGGAAGCATCTTACCTACAGATGTTGCGACACGGGCGGTCCCTTCTGCACCAGACCAAGACACCTGGGGACAAACCAGTCATCATCTCCATTAAACACCCCAGAGATGGTGCTCAGGCAACATGTGGCATCACTTGGTTGGGAAACCTCAAGCCGTGAGAGGCTGCCAGCACTCCCTGAGGCAGGGCTGGTGTTTGGGGGCTGAAGGAACACACCCCCCCGTCCATCTCCACCTGCCCCAGGGGCACCAATGGTCCCACCGCTGGCCAGGGAGCCACCAGCTCCGGCCATGTCTGAGCAGGTACAAGGGGAGCGTGACGGGGACGAGGAGAGCAGGAGAACATCGATGAGCTCCTCCAGCACCTCCCCAGCGCCTGGAGGCTTTTCACAGGAAAAACCTGAAAACTTTGTGCAATAGCAAAACACACACATAAATCACCTCGGGAGAACCTCCTACTTCTATTTTAAACTGCCAGAGCCTCTTCTCAAGTCCAGACTTGGGCATTTCTTTGTTTGTTTTTTTTTCTCCCCACTCCAAGTTTGCAGACAGCAATCTCAGAATTAAAAATCCTCACTTTGCCAGGGACTGGGGATGGGCCGGAAGAAACACTCTCCAGCTCCAAAAAAGGAGGAAAAAAGCAAGACCACTGAGTAAAGCAGCACATTTCCCTTCTGCGGGCAGCAAAGCGCTGCAGACGCGGTGGGGGGACTCGGTGCTCCTGCCCTAGAAGGGATGTGTGACATCCCCCGGTGCCCATGGGACTCTGGGGGGGTTTGACCCAGACAAGGACAGCAAAGTGTAATCTCCTGCCTGTTCTGGACACCCAGGAGGCATTTTGATGCCAGCCTTGCCCTGCCCCACGTCTGGGAGCAGGGAGGAAAGGGAAGGTGACAGAGGGCAATGTCACCTCCTGGGGTCGGGACACACCCTGCTTGAAACCACAGCAGTGACAAAGCCCCAGCCCCTGCCCAGGGGACATCTGGGTGGGAAACCCAGGTCCCAGCGAGGACGTGGCCCATCAACCAGCCCAGACCCCCCTGCCCCATCCCCTCCTGCATCCACCCCCTGCCGTGGCACCCGCCAGGGACGCAGCAACCAGCCAAAAAGCCAGGGCAGAGGGTCACTCACCTGCGAGCGAGCCCACCACCACGCACGCCAGGATCACGGGCAACAGCACGTTGGCAGCATCTGCAAGGGAGAGGATCCACCGTCTCTGTGGCCGGATGGAATTTAACCCCCCACCCACACCCTCCACTCAGAAAACAGGCAGTTACAGGGCAATGGGGAGCTGGGGGAGAGGATAGGGGGGTTGGGGGGACATTTCCCCTCCTTCTTTTCCCCGGCATCAGGAAGAAACCCCCACTCACGCTGGACGTGGAGCAGGAAGGAGGTCTCGTTCTGGCTGACTTGGTTGCGCACCACGCAGGCGTAGTACCCGCTGTCGTTCATGGAGGCCTTCAGGATGCACAGGGTGCTGTTGTCCACAAACTGGATGTGGTCGCTTCCCAGCAGCAGCTCCCCATTTTTCTTCCACCAGTACAAGTCTGCCTTCCCTTCCAGGACGTTGCAAACCAGTTTGGTGTTGGCTCCTGCCTTCACTGAGGAGTTGCCCACGATTTCTGGCTCGGACAGGGGTTCTGGGAGAGACGGAGCGACTGTCAGCATCAAAACCCACGGCTCCCCGGGTGCCAGACCCAGAGGACCCTCCTCCACAGCGATTCCAGAGGCTTCGCCATCCCATCACTCACCAACAACATGGAGCTGGAACCAGCCCGTGGCCTCGGACTCGGACCTGAAGCGGTAGAGCCGGCCGTCCCCCTGCTGCAGCACCATCTGCAGCGAGAAGTCGGTCTCGTTGAACCGGGTGCGGTTCTCGTAGGGGCGAGAGGTGTTGGGGGCTCTGTCGAAGGCGTAGCTGAGGATGACCCCTTCCTGAGGGCCGGTTTTGTACTCCCAGAAGACACCTTGGCTGGCCCTGGGAGGCGGCACGGTGAGGAGCACGGTGCAGCCCACGGCCGAGACGAGTCTCTCCGAGGCCGGGCGCAGGTCGGCGGAGTAGCAGGGAGGAAGCGTGCGGGCTGGAAAAAGAAATCAGATTTTAACAGAATCGTGGTTGGAAGGGACCTTTGAGATCATCGAGTCCAATCACAGAAAAAAAAAAAAAAACAAAGAAAAAAACCACAACAGACACAACCCAACAATCCCGGGCACTAGAGCATGCCCTGAAGAGCCACATCTACACGTTTCTTCAATCCCTCCAGGGATGGTGACTCCACCACCTCCCTGGGCAGGCTGTTCCAGTGCCTGACCACTCTCTCAGGAAAGTCATTCTTCCCAATATCTAATCTAACCCTCCCCTGCCCCAACTTCAGACCATTTCCTCTGCTCCTGGCATTATTCACGTGGGAGAAAAGGCCAACCCCCACCTCTCTACACCCTCCCTTCATGTTACTCTACAGCTGCTGAGATTCAGCTTCCTCCACCTGCAGGGTGCCCGAAAAAGCCCTCCCTGGCTCAGCCGTGCTGCAAACCACAGGGCTGGGCTCGCCATCATTTAGTTTTTTAAGCAGCGAGAGGGAAAAGCAGGAGGTCCCGAAAATTGTGTACAAGTTCCCTTCATATCTCTCACCCAAAAATCACAGTTCTTCGCCTCAGAGCTCAGTTCATGGGCCTGCACCACTCATTGACCTGCACCCCAGGACGGCTCCTGGGGACCCCACTGCCCCCGGGTCCCACCGGGGAGCCCCCTCCTCCCTCCGGCTCCACCGGGGGCACAAAGCCCGGGGTGACCGAGCCCTCACCGCCCACAACCGCTTTCCCGTCGGATCACGGCCAAAAAAAAGGGCTCTAAGAGAGGAGGGGGCCCGCGAGCCCCTTCCCCATCTGCCTTTAAAAGCTTTTGGCCGGGGAAAATTCGGGGTTCGGGAGATCCCGGGACCGGCCTCGGCTTGTTCTATCAGGAGCCCGGGGAGTCTCCTCCGGGCTCGGCGAGGTGCAACCCCCCCCCGGAC